AGATGGGGTGCATAAGGCGGGGGCAGCGGTGGTGGACCAAGGTGGGAACATAATTTGGAGTGCCCCGTTGCCCCCGGGGACCTCAGCCCAGAAGGCTGAACTGATTGAGCTGGCAGAGGCACTCGAGCGGGCTGAGGGAAAATGAGTGACTCTTTATACCGACAGCCGCTACGCTTTTGGCAACGTCCATGTACATGGCGCAATCTACCGGGAAAGGGGTTTCATTACCGCAGAAGGAAAGGAGCTACGTAACCTCCCAGAGATCCAGAGATTACTGATCGCAGTGCAGAAGCCTCAGGCTGCGGCGATAGTACACGTTCCTGGTCACCAGTCTTCCCAGACTCCGGAAGCTATGGGGAACCGGCGAGCGGACGAGTGGCCCGAAATGCTGCTTTGGCCTCCACGACCCTAGCGCTGACTTTACCCATGCCCGAGCTTCCACGCTTGCCACCACGACCTGAGTACACCCCGGAAGACAGACAGTGGATCCAAGGTCACCGATGCCCGGAGTCCAACCAGCAAGGCTGGTATCGTGATGACAAAGGGCGACTGATCCTTCCTGAAAAGTTAGGACTGTTTCTCCTCTCCAACCTACATCGAGCCACCCATTTAGGCAAGAAAAAACTACTCGCCCTCCTCGAGTCAGCCCGCCTCCGGTTCCCGCACCAAACAGCCCAGATTCAAAGGATTGTGGACCAATGTGCAGGGTGCCAGGCTATGAAACCCAGCAAAAAGGGACTCCTACATACAGGTACACGGGTACAGGGGAGGGCGCCGGGACGGAGCTGGGAAGTGGATTTCACTGAGGTGAAGCCGGGAAGGTATGGGTATAGGTATTTGTTGGTTCTGATAAGACACCTTCTCAGGCTGGGTGGAGGCTTTTCCTACAAAACGAGAGACTGCCCAGGTTGTAGCTAAGGTTTTGCTGGAGGAAATCATACCCAGACATGGCATCCCCGAAACGCTAGGCTCTGATAACGGTCTGGCTTTCATCAGTAACGTCCTACAAGGGCTGGCCCTGGCAGTGGGGGCTAATTGGAAACTGCATTGTGAATATAACCCCCAGAGCTCAGGGCAGGTAGAAAGAATGAATCGGACCCTGAAGGAGATCTTATCTAAATTAGCCATCGAGACTGGCGGAGACTGGGTGGCCCTCCTACCCTATGCCATCTTCCGGGTTCAAAATTCACCATATGTACATGGATTGACACCTTTTGAAATTCTATATGGGGCTCCGCCCCCCATTGTTGTCCGAACTCTACCGGACCAAGACCCCAGTATGGCCCCAAATTACTTGGCTAGCTTAAAGGCCCTACAGGAGGTCCAACAAGAGATCTGGCCCTTAGTGCGCTCCTTGTATGAGACCAAAGATGCATCAAACCCGGAACATGGCATCGTCCCAGGGGATTGGGTATGGGTAAAGAGACACAGAGCCCGCACTTTAGAAGAAAGATGGAAGGGCCCTTACATGGTCATTCTGGTTACCCCCACTGCTCTTAAGGTTGACGGCGTCGGGCCTTGGGTCCATCACTCCCACGTGCGTCAAGCCAGTCAGCAAGAACAGGAAGAGGCTAGAGAGTGGATCACACGGCGGCACCCCAATAATCCGTTAAAGCTGAAGCTCGTCCAGCCCAGGAGACGTACAGAGAAACTCTCCACTCGACTCTCAACACCCCCCCTGCAGTAACCTCTGGACCAGGGCAGACCCCAAGGCCCATTAGCCAGCAAGATGATAAAATTCCTCCTACGCATTCTGAGCCTTCTGTGTCTATGCTGGGTGGGACCTGCCCAGAACCCCAATCCCCACCAGCCCTACCACCTCACCTGGGTGGTCATAGATACATCCACAGGGGAGATTCTCACTCAGACCTCCAAGGTGACCCCTCCCAACGTCTGGTTCTCTGATTTAACTTTTGATCTGACAAAACTGGTGGCCCGTGTGGGGATTCTGAAGGATAACTTTTACGTCTGTCCAGGACACCTAAAAGGTAAAAGTAACAGTAAACAGTGCGGGGGGCCATCAAATTATTTTTGCGCTTCCTGGTCCTGTGTGTCCACTGGCAACATCTGGTGGCCTCCCCCTGAAAAAACAGACCTAATTACCATGTCTAAGGGCTGTATTACAGAACAAAGAAGCCGCTGGAAGCCTCGCTGTGACCTTGTAAAAATCAAATTTACAGAAAAAGATAAAGCTGACACTCGATGGATATCAGGCCTCATCTGGGGGATTTGCTGCTATGACCCAATGAGGCTCAGGGCCCAAGACCAGGGAGCCCTATTTACCATCCAGCTCACACAGCAACCCACCCCTACTCAGGCGATAGGCCCCAATAAAGTACTTAAGCCACCCTATGTGGAGCCGCCTCCCCGACCTCACACAACCCCGGTCCCTTCCCGGCCTCACACAAATGCTAGTATTACAACTCCAGGACCGCTAGGAACTGGCACTTCCCTGGGAAGGCCTAGCCCTATGACTGGGTCTATGGACCCCCTTTGGAATTTGGTAAATGCCACACATTCCTAACATTGAACCACACCAGCCCTAATATGACTACCTCCTGCTGGCTGTGCTATGATGTGAGGCCCCCATTCCATGAGGTAATAGGACTAAATGCCACCTACAATGTCTCGACTAGTGAAAACCCCACTCAATGTTCCTGGGGAAACCGTAAGAGAGGTCTGACCATACAACAAATGAGCAGCCAAGGAACCTGCTTAGGGAAGGTGCCGGCGGGAAAACAGGACCTATGTGCTGTTGTAGATATCAACCGCAGCTGGGGCGATGGTATTAAGTGGGTAATTCCAAAAGACAATGGATGATGGATATGCTCACAGTCTGGGCTCACCCCTTGCCTATCGACTAATGTCTTTAACGGCTCCAGGGAATTCTGTGTCCTAGTGACTGTGCTGCCCCGCATCATCTATCATTCTGAGGAGAGCCTATATTCACACTGGAATACAGGAACAGGTGAGAGAAAAAAGAGAGAGCCTATTTCTGCACTAACCATTGCTACCCTACTTAGCCTAGGAGTGGCTGGAGCAGGAACTGGCATAGCATCCCTGGCTACTCAATATAGTGGGATGTCCTCGCTGCGTGCGGCCATAGACGAGGACATAGAGAGAATAGAAGCCTCCATTAGTCACCTAGAAAAATCCCTTACCTCCCTATCTGAGGTAGTACTCCAAAACACGGGGGCTAGACTTATTGTTCCTTCAGCAGCGGGGAATATGTGCTGCCTTAGGGGAGGAATGTTGTTTCTATGCTGATCATTCGGGAGTAGTTAGGGAGTCTATGTCTAAAGTGAGGGAAGGACTGGCAAAAAGGAAGCGGGAAAGAGAAGCCCAAGAGGGTTGGTTTGAAGCTTGGTTCAATAGGTCCCCCTGGTTTACTACCTTGGTCTCCACCCTGGTGGGTCCCTTGGTTATACTGCTGCTTATCCTAACTTTTGGCCCATGCATTCTGAATAAGCTAGTGACCTTCGTAAAGGATCGAGTTAGTACAGTCCAACTCATGGTCCTGAGACAGCAATATGAAGGGCTACCTAGCCCTGAAAATGTTTATGCGTATCATCCAAATGAGCATGATTCCTCATTATGAACATCTAAAGGGGGGAATGTTGGGGTACTTTAACTTGCAGCCCACCTAGCCTAGAAATCAGCTATAACTGGCATGACCCTTGGGTAACCTCGTGAAGAGGAAGATAGCCTTGAAACAGGGTTGTAAAACATGGTAAACTGTCAATTAAAAGCTGTAACCTCAGACAGAGCTGTGAGGAATTGCTCATTAGAGCCATGCAAAAGTTTGGGACCGAGATGAAAGGCACCATGCAGAGATAAGCACCCATTCCTGCCTTTCTTTGTCTCCACTTGTAAATAAACTTTCCAAAGCAGGACTCCCCTGCTGTTCTTATCTAAACCTTAGGTTTCTATTCCACTACTAGCCCCTAATTTATGGGAGAACGCACTCCTTGTAACCTGATAAGTAAACCTCTGGTGTTTCCCCAGTTCCCAATAAATAATATTACCCCACCACCAGGATGTGGGCAAGATCAGGATGTGGGCAAGATCAGGAAAATGTGACCCCAGGGACATGAGGAATTCCTATGTGATGATGATTGATGCTTTAAAGAGTATAAGACCTGCTTAAACTTTGCTCTCAGGGTCCTTGTTGAAACCTGCTGCGTCAGGCGGATGCTCGGACCCTAGCCGGCTAGAAATAAACCTCGCCTTGTGACTTCCTTTGTCTCGAGTGTCCTTTGTCCTCTCAGAAGGTGGCCGGCCTCGTACCCTAACAGGAGGATTTCTTGAATGCAGGAGCTGAAGGCTAACCTGGGCAATGTAATGAAATCTCCATCTAGGAATGAAGGGAGGAGGAAGGGAGGAGAAAGAAAGAAACCAAAAGGAAGGAAGGAAGGAATGGAAAAGGGAAGGAAAGAAAGAAACCAAAAAAACCACCAAACCTCAATGGCTTAGATATCTCTAGCTATATATGCTAAAAGGATCCTCTAAACAAATTAATTTTAATTTGCTTTAAAGTTTGCTCTTCTGGTGAAAATTAAGTTAGGATGCAAATGTTAAACAGTGTTAACAGTGTGCAACTCCATGGAGTTAGGGCTTATGAGAAATACGGTCGTGGTTACAACTACCCAGCTGCCACTGTAGCACAGAAGCAGTATACATCGACAAACAAATGTGGTGGTATCCCACTAAAAATTTATTTACAAAACAGACAGCAGGTCCAACCTGGACAGCAGTTTTGTTGACCTCTTGTTTAAGGCATTAGTAGTTCATATCATCACCAAATAATATTTGAGTAGACAACTAAGATTCATACAATAAATTATTAATTGGCAGAAGCAGTTATACTAGCTTGAGACTCAGAAGTTGTTTGAAAAGTCTGGACTCTAAAGTTCATGGATATTTTCTGGAAATTCAATTTGGACTGAATTTTGCCTAGTGGCCACAGGCTGGTTTACTCCACTGGTATGCTTTGGGCTTACCTAATAGGCTAAGCCTGGGGACCAGGTATCGATGTTCTGATGTTTGAAGCAAAGGAGCCAGACCATGAAAGAGGTAAAATACTCCTGTCTGCTGGGCCTTTTTACATGCATCATCATCTTCCTTCAGTTCAAATAAATACCTGCATTTGGGAAATAAGTCATTACAGGACCACACTTAGATATTTGTATAACACTCATTTTTGAAAATTCTCCTGCATCCCTCCTACCACTCATTTCCTTTTATTTATTTACATCCTAATTTGCTTGAAATAGGATCTGAGGTGGCTACAGGCCATTATTTATTCCCTCCTTTGTCCTATTGTACAGCTTGCCCATACTTCTCTGGTTGCACTATTGTACAATTGTTCAATTGACCTGTCTTCCCTGGAAGACCATGATCTCCTTAAGGACAGGGTCTGCCTTTCCTGGCTCTGCATCTCAGTAATTAACATATCAAATGGCTCAATTCAATAAATATTTATTGACTTGAACTTCAAGGGTAGTAAATATTTACTGAATTGAACCTCAAAGTATTTAGCCAATACTATACTGTGAAGCAAGAATTTACAGGCAATGAAGTGAAAAAAAAAAAAAAACAAGTACATTGATAAAAACATCAACCACAAAATGGAGATGGGAGGAAACTTTATTATTGTAAACAAAGAGCAAACACCATGCCTTCAGTAACTCATTCAGTCTAGGGAGGACAACAAATTTTACCTTCAAACAGCTAGCTCCCATGGTGGGTGCTCTTAACTCCTTATCTGTGATAAGGGGCCATTGATGAAGCCTATCCTTACGGATAATATTTTCAGCAGCCAAAATGAAAATGTGGAAAAAGAACACCCTCTTATTCATTTCTCAAAAAGAGATAATAACGGAGCAAGGTTCTAGACTTCTCCAGTACCTTCATTAAGGGAGTCTGAATCTATCCATTCAAGACTTTGGGAATTGAGGCAGGGTCCATGTGATTCAGGAGAGACTAAATGTGAATTCTCCTGGGAGCCTTGGGATTAATAACCATTAACCTAATAACCATTTTTACCTGTCAAAACCCCCAAACAAGCCAGGTGCTGGTGGCTCATGTCTGTAATCCTAGCTACTCAGGAGGCAGAGATCAGGAGGATCGAGGTTTAAAGCTAGTCAGACAGAAATAGTTTGCAAGACCCTATCTCAAAAAACACTTCACAAAAATAGGGCTGGTGGAGTGGCTCAAGGTGAAGGCCCTGAGTTCAAGCCCAGTACCACAAAAACAAACAAACAAACAAACAAAAAACAAAAAAAAACCCCACCTAAAACAGGGCTGGAGATGTGGCTCAGTGGTGGAGCATTTCCCTCACATGTGTAAAGCCCTAGGTTCAATCCCAGCACTTAAAAAAAAAAAAAAAAAGCCCTAAAATAGACTCTCATGGATATGGAATATTTTGTCATAGTTTACATAGTTTACAGATATTTTCTGTAGGATCCGAGAATGTTGTAACAGCAGGCAGAGCTGACTCAACAAGAAAATACAAAGCAAACGACAAACACCCTGTGTGATAAAAGGAGTTATAATGAGCTCTTTATAAATAGAAGACAAAAGAAATCTGATTTTTCAAGACTTGTGATATTTTAAATTTTATTTTGAATGGCTTTAGCCTCCTGGAGAAAAGACTCTGTATGTCAAAGGAGAGACGTGCCACTCAGAAGTCATCAAATATAAACAATAAAACAAACACTGCTGCCTTCGTAAAGAGTAAGAGTGGTACAAGTTGTGCTTTGCCCTAATGACCCCAGAAAGCAAAACACCTACCAAAATATCCAGGTGAAGGTCTTAAACCCAGGGCCTCACTGGAAAGGGAACGGAAATCTAAAAGTTCCTTATACTCGCCTCAATAAAGAACTCTTTTTAAAACTTCTTTTTCTCCCTTTAGTTTTAATAGAATGGAAACCACTATATTAAGATTATCAAGGCTAGATTATTTTTAAACTTTAACTTTTTTCTTATTATAATAGTGAAAAGTCATTCTTTAAAAGAAAACACAACTATCAATTTTTTAAAAAGGAAATCATCAATGATCCCACCAGATATATATATCCCAATCAGATATAATCACTATTTACACTATGGAATTCTCTAAACTATTAATATTAGGCATCAGCACATATGTTTAGAATCAATTATACATACTCATTTGTAGCCTTTTTTCCTTAAACAGATATAAACATTTTTACATCATAAAATGTTACTGGATAGCTCTTTATTCTTATGATTTTGATTCATTTTTAAACATATTTAATCACTTTAAATAGTTATTTTTAGACATTCAATAATTGTTATTGTTCTCGGAGTCTCAGTCTGAGATGCATAAGCAATCTAAATGCCCAACAATATCTAAAACTATTTCTGCAACTTTTTTTGTTTGTTTGTTCACTCTTGCTCATGAAGGATTTATGCTTATGTACCCCCTAAATTTGGGCTGGGCCCTCATGTTTGGCAGGTCTTCTATGTGGGAAACCCTAGTTGTGTCTGTTAATATTAAAGGGGTTTATATTTGCATTTGGAAGGTGCCCCATGAGTGTTATCAGTCTGAAATACTGTTTATATCTGAGAGCAGGTTCGTTATTTCAAATTCACAGAATTCAAACTTCTCCAGGCTAAAACAAAGTTCTTTATCATCTTCCTATGCTGCTGTAGTTTTTATTTTTCTAGCCTACCTTTCATTGAAGTTTCTTCCTTTTAGAAGAGGGAAGGTCTTGGAGTTATTCATGTTATCTTCAAGAAACTTCATGAAATACTATTCTTCTTGGTAGCACTAGGGGTTGAACCAGGGCCTCATCTCACAGTTTCGAGGAAGGAGCTCTACCACTTGAACCACTCCGCCAGCCCTTTCTGTGCGTCCCTGTGTAACTGGGTAACTGGTTAACAGGCATATCCCACTGCACCCAGAGCCTTATATTCAAAGGTGTAAGACATTTTAGATATTTTAAATATTAGATACATAGTTTGTTTAAATTTTTTTAAATTGTAAATAATTTGCAATTGAAAAGAATGCAGCCCAAAAGAATGAACATTTTTAGAAGCAATTTTATCACACATCCTTAATCTTCAATGTGGGATTTTGAGATGTTTCTATTTTATAGCTTAATAGGCCAAAAACAGAATAACCAGAGCTCATATTGGTCAAAACTCACCGTGTCTTAGTGACATATGTTGATAGCAGCCTGTAGCACCAAAAAGATTTTCTCTTGCAAGCTATTCCATAATACAGAAACATTGTCAGGATCCTAGAGAAAAGAGGAATTAAAAAAAAAAAAAAAACCTAATAGTTTGCAATTTAAAGCAATGAATTACCAAGGGAGCTATATCTTAAGCCAGGATAAGATCACTTTGCAATACTAAAGAAAGAGAAATTAAGAAAGAGTCAGATGATCTGGCTTCTCCATTGCATTTCTATCACTAACTAGCTATAGGATCTCAAATACTTGGTACTTCTTCCTGAATCTACAAAATTGAAACTTGTTCTGCCAAGCTGATAAGTTGTGAGAATTAGCTAACTAACAATAAAAAATATATGTTCTATATTCATTTGTAAAGCTGTTTCTAGGAGGGGGCTGCCAAGACAAAGCCTATATCTCTCTCCTTCCTTATATCAAAGTAGAGCCAAGACTGGGGCTTAACAATAGATTATGAGTGGAAGTGATGAGTATCCTTTCTAGGCTGAAACAATTAAGCAGTGGGTATGCTTCTCCATCCTCTTATCCTCCTCTGCTTGTAAGACTCCAAGATAAAAGACAGTCATTAGATGGAGAAACCTGGATCTGACTCACAAATGGGTAAGAAAAAAGCCAACTTACCAACCAAAGAGCCTCTGCACTAGATTGTTTGTGAATGAAAAATAAACTTCTACCATATTGGTTGACAAGTTTGGCCCAGTGGTAGAGCATTTACCATGTGCAAGGCCCTGGGTTCAATTGCCAGCACTGCAAAAATATACTACCACTACTACTACTACGAATTATAACTTCTACCATATTAAGATACTGAAATCTTTAGGAGGGAGGTAACCCAGGGCCTTAAATGTACTAAGCACACATTCTACAACTGAGCTATACTCCCAGCCCCTTGGCCATTGAAATTTTATGTTACAGGATCTAGTATTACCCTAATTAACAGATCAAGTAAAAAGCCTGGGATATCTCCAGAGTAATAGAGCCAAGTTTCTCAGAATACATAAAAACCAACATCTCTCTGAGAATGAAGTAGCAGGAAATCCTATAGATAAAATTTTAAAATCTTGACCATTAGGAAACTATTTTAAAGACAGCTATGAAAATTCACATGGACCAAGATATTTTCTATTTTTTATAGTTCATTATGAAAGGGAAAAATAATCTGTATCTGCAAAATACATTCTGCAGAAGATAGTTCCTTTTATTATTTATATGTTTGTTTCTTTTTACAATGCTGGAGGTTGAATTTAGGGCCTCATGCATCCTAGGCAAGCACTCTAGCACTAAGCTACATCCCCAGCTCAATGATTCCTTTTAAGTTGTACATCAGTAAGTATTTTCTTCCCCATGAAAAGTACCTTTCAAGTAAGTAGTAATAATGTCAAGAAATCCCACTGGGAAAAAAGAGAAAATCAGTACAGTTAGATAACCAAACATCTTTTAACTGTTTTGAAGGGAAGGAACCTTTGGCATTAACCTACCACGGAATACCTAAAGTTTAGGCCTACTTCTTGGTTGCATAATTATGAGTCACTGATGAGTAATCCTTGCATAGTTTTGGCTGCAATCTGTGTCCTAGGCAAGGGTAAAATATATTTAGCAAATGAGAGTCAATAAAGTATTTATTGAATACTGACATTATGCAAGGTCCCTTAAGAAACACAAAAATGTAAAGGATGAAAATTCCTGCCCTCAAGGAACTCTAGTAGGAGAGAGAAAACAAATAAATACCTAACTTTCACAGAAAGCAGTCTGTGGTATGTAGGTTTTAAAAACCCAAGGATTCATGCAAAGTATTGGAAGAAATGTAGTCAATTTTCCTAGCTCACCTACAACTCAGAAAATATAAATTGATACAATATTTTTGAAGGTTAATGTAAGAATACCTATTAAAATGTTTAAGAAGTATCCCTTTCATATAACAATTCTACTTATAGGAATTTATCCAGGGAAGGAAAGGATATTACAAGAATGTTAATAAAAAATTATGATAAGGGACTGAGACTGTAGCTCTAGGTGGAGTGCTTGCCTAGCACGTTTAGGGTCCTGGGTTCCATCCCCAGCACAGCCAAAAAAAGGGAATAATAAACTGGGCACCGGTGGCTCATACCTAAAATCCTAGCTACTCAGGAGGCAGACATCAGGAAGATCACAATTCAAAACAAGCCCAGGCAAATAGTTTGTGAGACTATCTCGAAAATACTCATCACAAGAAAGGATAGAGGACTGGCTCAAGTGGTAGAATTGTCTGCCTAGCAAGCATGAGCCCCTCAGTTGAAACCCACAGTACTGCCAAAAAAAAAAAAAAAAAGAATTAATATAAATATACAACTGATAAATAGAAAATAATGTAACAGTGAAAAACATAAGCATAGTATCTAAGAAAATTATTCAGAATATATTATTAAGTAAGAAAGCTCAGAGGGCAAGGGGGAGATGTTGGTCAAAGATACACAGTTTCACTTAGACAGGATGTATAAATTCTGGGTATGTATTGTACCACATGGTGACTCTAGTTAATAATAATGTATACTTGAAAATTACTAAGAGAATAGACCTTTTATGGGGGGAGGGTAACTGGGATTTGAACTCAGGGCTTTACACTTGCAAAGCAGGCACTCTACCGCTTGAGCCATGCCTCCAGTCTATTTTGCTTTGGTTATTTTGGAGATGGGGGACTTGAGAGCTTTTGCCTGGGCTGGCCTTGAACCGTGGTCTTTTCTATCTCAGCCTCCTAAGTAGTTAGGATTATAGGCATAAGCCACCAGCATCCAGTGAGAATAGATCTTAAATATTCTCACTACAATAAAAAATGACAAGTATGTGAAGTGATGGATATAATTAGTTTGATTTAATAATTTCATAATATATACATATATCAAAACATTACATTGTACACCATAAATACATATACAATATTTATTTGCCAATTATACCTTAAGCTAGAGGGGGAAAAAATAAAACCAAGTAATATTAGGTTGGTCAGCATGATCTAATTAATTTATAAAGAAAAATGACATACGCATATATATCCCAGTATACATAAATTAGCTATGTATTTGTTTATGTATTTTAAATTATTAGAAATACACATACCAAACTATAAACAATGGCTAATTTGGGAGAAAGGTAAGGATTGAAAGATGTACCTGTGGTTTTTACTTTAATCACTTCCACATTTTAAAAAAAATTTTTCTTTGTTGGGATTGGGGTTTGAATTCTAGGCTTCATGATTGCAAAGCAAGCATTCTACCACTTGAGCCACACCTCCAGTTCATTTTGCTCTGTGTACTTTAAATTTAATTTTTTTTGTGGTACTGGGGCTTGAACTCAGGGCCTACACCTTAAAGTACTCCACCAGCTCCTTTTTATTTATGTGGCATATTTTCGAGTAGGGTCTCAAGAACTAATTTTCCAGGCTGGCTTAGAACCATGATCCTCCAGATCTCTGCCTCCTGAGTAGCTAGGATTACAAGTGCGAGCCACTGGTACCTGGTACTTTAAAAATACTTAACCATCTATACATATACATATATATATATATATATATTTTTTTTTTTTTTTTTTTTTTTTTGGTAGGACTTGGGTTTGAATTCAAGGCCTCTCAGTTGCTAGGCAGGCACTCTACCACTTGAGCCACACCTCATATATACATATTTCTTTCAAAATGTAAGAAAGCCAGGTATGGAGATGCACACCTCTAATCTTAGAACTTGCCAGGCTGAGAAAGGAGAATGGTGAGTTTGAGACTAGCCTGCATTACACAGTAAGTGTGAATACAGCCTAGGCTACATAGTAAGACCCTGCCTCAAAAAAAGAGGACCAGGCATAGTGGTTCAGGCCTGAAATCCCACATACTTGGGAAGCAGAAATAGAATGATCGTTGAGGCCAGTCCCAGGTAAAAGTGTGAGACTTTTACAGCAACAAGAAGTGGGGTGTGTGGTTCAAGTAGTAGAGTCCTTGCCTAGCAAGTACAAGGCCCTCACTTTAAATGCCAGTAACCCTGCCATTCCCCCAAAAAAGCAATATAAGGAAATATAATATAGTAATTTCTGGGACTGACTGCTCAATGAGACTGTTTCTAGGCCACTGTTCCAGAAACACCTCTCCATATTCCCTATGAACCAAAGGGAATTCAATTAGTGAGTTTCTTGGAACCATAAGAGCTATTTGGTTGTGGTTGTAACTACTGACTAATCTGTGAGGCCCACTGTACTTGGCTGCCTGATATCTTGCCCAGTTCCTGCTACTAAATTAACCTTAGCCAGTTTTGGATTATCACAGCCTGTGGATTCAGGAGTTGGTGGCCACAGGGATATTTATTTATTTTTTTAATTACAAAACCTGATAGAAATGAAAGGTAATATTATTTTTAATTAAAAACTAGTAAACACTAAGGCAGTGTCCTTAAGAGTAACAATTTCTCTAAATCATCTGTAATAAATGATTCTCATCTTGCTCCTTTTTTTCCAGAAGGATTAATTTATAAAACATAAAAGCATGACAATAATGCTCATCTTGAATCTTTGTGGTTTCCTTCACCACTAAGAGGCATGGCTTTCTGTTTGGGAGAGCCCTTTTGTGACGGTCTCTTTTTCCTTTCCTTGATTGTGGACCTCAAAGGAAAGTGAGACTATACCAAACTGAGCAACCACTGAGATATAGATTTCAGGGTCTCAGTGACCTTTCTCATACGAAAAACTTTATGATTTACTTTGTAAAAGATAATTTTCCTCCCTTGGTTAAAAAATTAAAGCCAAAGGTGAGAAGTTAGCAAACTCCATTTTTAAATAACTCCAAAAAAAAAAGTATCAGAAAATGATTACCTTCAGTTAATGAGACAGCGCCACAAGTACAAACTGATTATTCCCTTGATTTCTGCAAGAGAGAAGAAAGATTAAGCTAAAATTGTTAAATGTTATAACCAAGTTCTGATTATGCCTGCCTGTTACAACCTTCCTGCACTCACAACCTGAAGAGGTTTCTCTTTCACTACACTCACTCTGAATTCTTTTGTGGGCGACTTCCTAGGCCTCAAGAATCAGCAGAAACCAGGAAACTCCAAATGTTCAAGTTCCCTGGAGGGACCATTGCCACTTCTGCCACAACTCCCAGAATCCTCCTAAAGATGCACTCTGGGAAATGTAATTTAATCTCTGTGCCTGCTTAGGTTAACTGTGACCAGTGAAAGCATACTTCTGCCACACTTCCCAGAATCCTTCTGGATATGAATTCTGGGAACTGTAGTTCAATTCTAAGGCATCATAACCATGATTAACAAAAGCATGATCTTCTAAGATCTTAATACCAACAAAAATACTGTGACTTTGGAAAAAGTGGAGTGGGTTAGATTCATTTTTTAATAACAAAATGATAAAGTCATTAAATCCACCTACATACATAGAATGCACATATTATGGAGGTGGGATAAAGAGGGGTAGAAATCAGGACTTTTTTTTTTTTTTTTTTTTTGAGACCTAATCTCACTATGTAAGGGCTGGGGATGTAGCTCAGTGGTTGACTGTTGGCCTACCATGCATGAGGCACTGGGTTTGATCCCAGTACCACAAAAATAAATAAATAAATACTTTCACTATATAACCCAGGCTATCATTAAACTCTAGATCCTCCTGCTCAGACCTCCTGAGTGCTAGGATTACATGTATGCACTCCCACACCAAGGCCATCAGATAACTTTAATTTATCACTATCTCATTCTATCTCTGTCTGCCCACTTTAGAACTAGCTGTAACATTTCATGAAATTCTGCCAGTATAAAACGGCAGGACTGTGTCTGGGTATGCTTGAGCTTTTGGTAGAATTCATTCCCTGATAAACCTGGAGAAGCGCCCATCTGACCGAAAGCAATCCCCAGCAAAGCTACTTGGGCATTGCCCCCTTCTCTTCTTACTGTGAAGTTGCTTGCTTATATAATGAAAACACAATTTTTGGAGCCAGTCACTCAACATATATTTAATGAGTACTAAATGTACTTGGGACTGTTAAAGGCACAGGATATATGAAAATCTCTGTTCATATGTAACTTAAATTCTATAGGAGGAAACAAATCAACAAGTAAATATATAATTTGTCAGGTGGCTATAAGTGCTAGCAGGAAACAAAGCAAGTTAAGAAGAGGGATGATTTTGCTATTTCATATCAGATGGTCATCCTCATTGTTAAAGTGATACTTAAGCAAAGACCATTTGACAGAGGAAGCCAAATTGTTATCTTTGGGAAGAGATTTGTAGACAAAGCAAAATGAGCATAAGCAAAGGCCCTGGAGTAAGAAAAATATGCCTAGCAGGTTTGAGGAATTGCTAGGACAGAGCATAATATCAGAGATGAGGTCAAAGAATAGCCAGGAATTAAATTACACAAGTCCTTACAAATCTTAAATCCTGTTTCATCTTCTTCTTTTTTTTTGGGGGGGGGTGGGGGAGGTACAGGGCTTGAACTCAGGGCCTACACCTTGAGCCACTCCACCAGCCCATTTTGTGTTAGGTATTTTTGATATAGGGTCTCACAAACTATTTGCCCAGGCTGGCTTCAAACTGTGATACTCCTGATCTCTGCCTCCTGTGCAGAGCTAGTATTACATGCTTTTTTGAGGGGTGGGTAGTACTGGGGATTGAACTCATAGCCTTGTACATGCTAGGCAGGTGCTCTTCCACTTGAGCCATGCTCCCAGCCCTTTTCACTTTAGTTATTTTTAGATAGGGTCTTGTGCTTTTTGTCTGGGCTGGGCCTTGACCATGATCCTCCTACCTCCACCTCCTAGAGTGCTACAATTACAGGCTTTTCAGGATGAACCAACATGCTTGGCAATCTGGCATTCTATACTGTTGATGGTGGACTAGGACCTGAGTTCACTAATTCTACTAGCACTCCTTCCAAACCAATAGTTATTCTTCCCACCAAGTACTGAGTGAATTCCAGTTCCTAAACTCAGAGTCTTGCTTCACCAAATACAGCTGAGATTTCTGGCATACTTGCTGGGTATGTTTGACTCTTGATAAATTCATTTGGGTGGAAGAATGCATGGACTATCCAAGTTCTACAAATCTTTCAGACAACCAAGTCAGATTCTGTTGTGTTTGGTTTTTTTATATAAACAGAAGCATTCTTCTAAACTGTAGCTTCTTGTTTTTAGGAAAATGTTTAATTAGTAAGCATTTTCTGTGTTTGATAGAATAGCTGTTGGCTATAACCCTGCAAACTATAGCACTGGGAAATACTTAATATTCATAACTCAAACCATTTATATTAATAAGGTGGTACATTATTCACGAAGGATACAGGAAATAGAAGAGGAGCTAATGAAGTCTCTTACAACTGTTGTGCCATTCATAAATTTTCATACCAAAATTACTAAGTAACTGTTCCTTACTCACCAACATATTCCTAATACCTGATGCAATGCTGAGCATGTTGTAGGTGTTATTTTAAATGAATGAAGTAAATAATAAAAATAGTCTTCCTTATTACAGCAGTTGCTGTGTAGAAGGTAATGTTCTCCTGAGACCATTGTTTTTCTAATGGGGAACAGCCACATCTCCTTGAGGAATTAGAAGCTTGGTGCAAAATAAAATAATATTTGGGACTTTATCTAAAATGGCTTTTAATACTATTGCTAGGAGCTTGTGTGGTTGCACAGGCCTATAGTCCCAGTTTTTCAGGAGGCTGAGGCTCCTGACATGTTAGTGCCTTCATTTGGCCTTTAAAACTTTAACTGATTTCTTTAAGCTCTGCTCAAGGTATAAATTGTGTGTTGTACAAAATAGGATCAATAAAAACAATTCTGATAATAGGTTTTGTAAAAGAAAAGTTTGACTCTTTTCAGGCAGTATGTGTTAAGACAGACTATGTAATGCTGCAGTTATAAACAACCTCAAATTTTAGAGAATTTTTTCCTTGCCTTTCTAGCTTCTAGAAACCACTACCTTCCTTGGCTCATGACCCACTTCCACCAGGAATATAGTATATATCTGATTCTCCTTCCATTCTCACCTCTCTTTCTCTGACTGTGATCAGGAAAGCTTCTTAGTTTTTCTTTTCTTTTCTTTTTTTTTTTTTTGTGGGACTGAGGTGTTTGAACTCAGGACTTCACACTTGCAAAGCCAGGGCTCTACTGCTTAAGTCCCACCTCCAGTCCATTTTGCTGTGTTTATTTTGGAGAGGGGATCTCAGCAGCCTGGACTAGCCTTGAACCATGATCCTCTTGATCTCAGCCTCTTAAGTAGCTAGGCTGAGCCACTGATGCCAAGTTAGGTTCACAGTTTTAAAGAAGCCTTGTTATCAGATTGGGTCCACCTAGATAATCCAGGCTAATCTTTCTATCTGAAGGTCCTTAATATAATTATGTAAGGTAACATACCCCATTCGTGGGTGCTAGGGATGAGGATGTGGCTATCTTTCAGGAGCCTTATACTGCCTACCACAGTGAGCATTCCATTCCCACTGAGACCATACGATGTAGATAGTGTGCCTGTTCCAGTGCAGCCATTTTTCACAATGTCACAGTAGGAGGATGCTAGTGCCTAGAATACTTCCCAGTTCAGCCGCATTCTAGAGCAAGGTTCTCAAGGAGAAAGGTTTTACCACTCCTGTTCCCAGGGCCCACCCCATATCCAGTGAAATGTCATTCACAAGAAACCCTATCCTCTTACATTGCTTTTGCCTTTGTTAAAGGTAAATATTATGTTACTCCATTGCTTAAAATACTTCAGTGCCTTCTCATTATACTTGTTGCAGTACAAAAAAACATGTCCTCTATGATCTAGCCTTTGCATTCCTCACTAATCTCCTCTCTTAGGAGTTTCTTCCTTGCTTACTGTACATGGCCATACTTTCTTTTAGTTTCTCAGGTGTACCAAAGTTTTATTGCTGCACAGTCCTCACATATACTATTTCCTCTCTTTAAAATGTCCTTATTCATACACTCCATCTGGTTAACTCATGCCTTAATTTAAATGTCACTTCTTCAGGCACACCTTCCTTGTATTATCAATCTAAAATTGTGTCCCTTATTCTTTCCCCATAGCACCTTGCTATTTCCTTAATATTTTAATTTATCAAAATTTGTATATATATATTTCCTAATTTTATATGTTTTTGGTTTCCTTAGAAGGATTCCAAGTTCTATGGCAGTGGGAATCACATATTCAGCACTTAGCATTAGTCTAATTCATATAATCAGGCAAATATTTATTGGATCAATTCCCAATGTTACAAGTATAGGTTTTTAACTCTATCCAATAAGATTATAAACTTCTTAAAAGCACAGATTGTTAAACTTTTATCTTCTATAGCCCAGTAGGCAGTGTCTTAATGCATGTTCCATAAATATTTATTCAGTGAATCTTAGATTATTAACCAAATTCCATTCTCTTTCTCTTCTAATGAATATGGCATAATATTTCTAAAATATTCTATCATCATTTTTCCCTTGCCAAAAGAACTACAGTTGCCTATTTCATCAAATTTATTCCATAATCCTCAAAGCACAATTTATTATTTTGCTATCTCAAATGATTTCTAATTGTTTCACATATGCAAGTTGCTTAAAACCACCTTCAACAATAGGGTCTATATCTTCTATTTTGGCTTTCCTTCTTCTTGTTCACACAAATGTTCAATGTCAAAGAAAGAGACCATCATTCAAAAAATGTGAAATGAAAAGCTGGTTTATTACCTATGTGTAGAAATTCTATGCTTTTTTTGACCTAAGCTCTCTGTTGATGTGTGTGTGTGTGTGTGTGTGTGTGTGTGTGTGTGTGTGTGTGTATCTGTGTGTCTGTGTGTGGCGTGGTGTGCTGGGGATCAAAACCCAGTCCTCCTACAATGCTAGACAAATGCTCTTCCACTGAGCTACACCTCCTTACCGCTTCCACTGATCATATTTTTTTTCTTTTATTCATATATGCATACATGTTTTGAAGAAGGTAGAGTTCAGGGATTGGCTGATTTTCAAAGATGGGAGATAGTGTACATCAGCTGTGGAAGCACTATTCTGGTAGAAAGACCTTTGCCGATGAGCTGACTAGAATGAAACTGTTTCTATTTGGCTGATGTTAAAAAGTGGGGAGATTGTGACTAATTGCCTGCTTTTATTTTTAGAGGCTTGTTTACTAAATGAGGTTGCCATTGATCTATTAATTCAGCTCAAAATCGCTTATGCTTATTTGTTGTTTAAATAACTACAGAATAGTCTCTCTTTATATATAACTAAATATTTTAGTCAAGAAATATTTGATTGATGAACTCTTTCAGACATAAGAGGAAGAGATTTATTAGAGATGTAAGTCTAGAGTGGCTCTGCTCTAATGTTTGATCATTCTTTATCTACTCCTCCAGGTATTTCTTATTTTCATTCTAGCTGAGCAAGGATGTCCAGGTTGAATAGTCATATATAGATTTAATATGAAGTCTTTTTGGGGCAACCAAAGGCCACCTATTAAACAAAGGTGTTTAATAATAAACACTACTACTATGGTTTGTGATATGTTTTGTCCCACAAAGGTTCATACGCTGGAAGTTTGGAACCCAATGCAACCGTATTCAGAGGTGGTGGAACATTTGAAAGGTGGGGCCTAGTGGGAGGTGATTAAGCCATTGGGGGCACCATTCTTGGCAGGGATTAATGCTCATCTTGGGGAAGTAGGTTAGGGCTTGTGGAAATAGATTGCTTACCATGAAAGTGGTTTCTTGTAAAATAAGTTTAGCTTTCTTTGCTCACTCTCGGCTTTGTCTCTTGCCATATGAACTCTCCCCCTCACCTCTCACCTCTCTCTCTTTCTCTCTCTCTCTCTCTCTCTCTCTCTCTCTCTCACTCACACACACACACACACACACACACACACACACACTACTGCCACCACGTGAGATACCATCCATCATGTTAGGCCCCAGCATAAGGCCCTGGACAGTTGTGGTCACCTGATCTTGGACTTACTCCCTGAAAAACTGTGAAACAAAGTAAATTTTTTATAAAGGACCCAGTCTCAAGTATTTTGTTGTAGCAATGCTAAATAGACTAAGACAATCATGAAGTTCAGAAAAAGAACATAATTTTTAATTAACTGCCTGATACACTTCTGTTACTTTTCTTTCCCTTCATTTTTTACATCTCATACTGTCTCTTCATATGATAATAATTTTGTAGTAATTTTCTATAGAGAAAATAAAAAAATTGTTTTCTTCTTTAGTGCAATTGGTTTTGTATTATAGAAACAGGTTAGAAAAGTTTCTTTCAGCTTTACAACTTACTGTTGATAACGTCATATACATTTTTGTACTTATAAATTTTTCCCAAATTTGGAAAATCTCCAACACATTATCTAATATATGATGAAAAGCGTTCTGAGCACTGTTTTATTCAAATAGATGACAATTTTTTTTTTTTTTTTTGGTACTGGGGCTTGAACCCAAGGCCTCAAGCTTGCTAGGCAAGTAGTCTACCACTTGACCTATATCCCCCATCACTGTTTTTTTTTTTTTTGGTGGTGGTGGTACTGCCATTTGAACTCATGTCTTCATGCTTGTTAGGCAAGTACTCCACCACTTCAGCCATGCCTCCAGTCCTATTCCCTCATTGACACTCTTTACTTTGCTGTATTCATTAAATTCTAACAGAAAAGTACCTCTTTTTTTTTTTTACTAAGCATTGATAACATTAAATCTGTAATTTAAAATCTTACACATCCAATAATTGGAAGAGTTTTCACAGATTAGTCCCAGGCTCTCTAAATTTCAACTTTGCTTCTCTTCCACTATCCTATTTTTATTTTTATTTATTTATTTATTTTTGCAGTGCTGGAGATTGAACCCAGGGTGTCACACACACTAGGCAAGCATTCTACCACTGAGACAGATCCCCAGCCCATGCATTTTTTGGTGCTAGAACACAGGACACATTCAGATAACTGTAAGAGGTCTAGTCCTGCACCTTTGTTTTATAATCATGGGTGGGTCAGCACAATGGGTGGTAAGAGTATTCTTGGAAGCCTGGAACAGCTGGCACGAGGAAGAGAATGTGGGTTACAAAAATATATCCCATTAAACTCAAACCAAATGTATCCCTAATTCAACTTTAGTTAAATTTTAAAAACGTTTGCTAGCTATGCCAATACCAGTTGATAAGAGGAAGCTTGGCAGAGGGAAGTCACTGAGGACTGTTAAAAATCTTACTTTTTTACAATGATCATGTGAACAAATTGCTAGGGCTCCTCCCAGAGACTTGGAAATGGGTGGTGCTAATGAGGACTTGTGAAGTTTCAGGGTCTGGGGCTATTTTTTGGTCCTTGACCACCTCACACATCTAAAAAGTATTGACATTACAAGAAACTTTCATGTGGATCATATCTACCAACATTTACTATATTAGAAGTTAAAACAATTATAAATGTTACATTTTAACATAAGTAACATTTTTAATGAAAATAACTTTTCCAAAGTAAGAATAATTTCCTGAGAAGTTCAGTAGTATTCCACATTTCTGCAAATCTCTTTAATGCCTGGTCTAAAACAAGATTCTTATAGATGCTCTGCACTCAATCCATTGCAATAGCACACGATCTGTAGTCTCTGGAAAACTCCACTGCACTGTCATTAGAGTGAAAGAGGCAAACCAAGTCTTACTATGAGTGTAATTTTGACCGTTGACCCCCTAACCTCACTTTGAGAACCACTGATTTAGACATCACTCCCTTCTGGTTCTCTGGAGCTCCCAAGTACCCTTTTTCTATTTCTGAATCTATATAATCAACTCCATCTCCCCGATCACTGTCAACTGTTAATCATTGTTAAAACTTTTTGGCACATATGGAATACTTTAGAAACAGTAATTTTTAATAAATAACAACTCTTAGGGGAGTTATTCTTTGACTGATAAGGTGAAAATTACCTCCTTCATTGTCTGCTCCCTGATAGTAAGGCTTTCTTTTTAAAAATCAAATAGTAACATTTGCTGTCTTATGTAAAGTTCTTAATAGCCCCTCTATCCCTTCCTCCATCCAGTGCCGGAATCAAACCTGGACCCTGAACATGCTAGGCAAATGGTCTACAACTGAGGAACACCCTTAGCCCGTAGAGTACTTAATATAATAACAGATCCTAATATTTACCAAGTTTTTCCGTAGCTAGGCATGTGGTCAGTGCTTTATATTCATTAACTTATTTAATTCTCACAATAATCCTAGGGGACAGATAATACTGTAATTTCTACTTTGCAGAAACTGAGATAGGTTAGTACCCAATATTACACAGGGCTGAGTCAGGATTTTTTTTTTTTTTTTTTGCAGCTGTCTACTTGATCTTTTTTTTTTTTTTTAATATAAGTTTCCACAAAGCATGCAATTTCTTTTTTTTTTTTTTTTGATAATGGAGATGATAATATTTTATTTATTTATTTTTTTTTCATTTTTCTTTTATTATTCATATGTGCATACAAGGCTTGGTTTATTTCTCCCCCCTGCCCCCACCCCCTCTTTTTTTTTTTTTAATTTCTTTTATTCATATGTGCATACAATGTTTGGGTCATTTCTCCCCCCTTCCCCCAGCCTCCTCCCTTTCCCCCACCCCCTCCCTCTTTCCCCTACCCCTAGGCAGAAACTATTTTGCCATTATCTCTAATTTTGTTGTAGAGAGAGTATAGCAATAAAGGGAAGGACCAAGGGTTTTTGCTGGTTGAGATAAGGATAGCTATGCAGACAGTTTACTGAGTCAGGATTTAAATCCAGATAATGTGAATCTAGAGCTCTATTGTCAATTGATAAAAGTGTAAATGTGGAAGGGGGGAGGAGGACTTGGAGAGAGGGAGGGCACCTGAATATTTGTTTTTTTAAAAACCATGTTTACTGACTGGGTCAATATTTGTTGTGATTAGAAAATTGCTAGACTTGAATATTTATATTAATATTAATTTATATTAAAATGCTTTTTGTACTATAGAAGAAAAGTAAAGGTGTACATAGCAAGAGATGCCTATCAAATTACAGTAGAGGTGTAAGAGGGAGCTTATTAAAAAGCAAACAGGCCTCAGGGCCAAGACAGCTGAGATACTGGACGCACCTTATTACTTTCCAGGATTCCTTTTTTTTTTTTTTTTTGCAGTTTTAAAAAAAATATTTATTTTTATTTTTTGTTGTTATTGTTCATTTATTCACATGTGCATACACTGGGTCATTTCTCCACTCTGCACCCCCCTTTCCCCCCCTCCCCTCCTCAGTTTCAGGCAGGTCCTGTTCTGCCCTTGTGACTGCTTTTGTTGAAGTAAAGACATAAGCATAAGAAAGACAAAGCGTTTTTGCTAGTTAAGGATAGCTATACAGAAAGATTCCTACTATTGCTCTCATGTACCCATGTGTTACGCCCCATGTTGATTCAACTCTAACTGATCTTTAGATTGATTCCTGATCCCCTGCTAGTGATAACCTGTCATATTAGTTCCTCTGGAGTGGGGACATCAAACGCTTTCATGTTTTGGGTTTTCAACCTATTCCTATATCTCCCGTATGTGCTCTCCCCTTTTCTTGTGATCCAAGTCCAACCACATTGCTGCATTTGCCCTAGATCTAAAGTCCGCATATGAGGGAGAACATACGGTTTTTGGTCTTCTGAGTCCAGGATTCCTTTCTGTCTTATTTTCTAGGCAGGAGGAATGTATGTTTATTTTTGCGGCACTGGGGCTTGAACTCAGGACCTCTCACTTAGGCAGACGCTCTATTACTTGGGCCACTCCACCAGCTCCCGTCTTATTTACTATACTCCCGTCTACTTCTCATTTTCAAGAAATGTCTTTGCCTATGGCCTCGTCGCTCAGACCAGACCCCGACCCTGAAATTAAGGCGCTAAATTGAGCCCGAGAGGGAAACCCCGTGGAAACCACAGTAACGGCGGCGTGGCGACAACTCCGCGCAGGCGCTTAGCTCTCAGCCCCTCCTCTCGTCCGGAGATCCACGCGCCGCCGCGGGTGGGGGCGAGCCGGCCCGGGACGGGCGCGAGGCCGGCGCCGGGCGCCTGCGCAGTGACGGGGACGCGGGTGTGATCGAGCTCACGTAGCGAGGGTTGCTGTCGCCTCCTCCCTGGCGCTGCCGTCGCGGCCTTGGAGGTTATAAAAGGGCTAACTGGCTCCCTCTGCTGCCCAGTCGCTCCGCCAGCGGGCTGAGGGCAGGAGTGGGTGGCGGGCCAGATCGCAGGCGACAGGAGCTGAAGCGCGCGCCGCCCTCGCCTTCCACTTTCCAGGTGAGACGCTTCTCCGATCTGGGAGACTGAGGCTGAGGCCCGGGAGCAGCCGAGCTACTGCTCGGACGGCCCCAGCGGTCCGGGATCTCATTTGGCTGGTGGATGGCGTGGGGGCGGGGGGTCGCCACCTCACCCCGCAGCTTCCGTGCGCTTTCCTCGGGACGCGGCCCCTCCGTCCACGTCCCCTGGTTGCTCCCCATCATACCCCCCCCTTCCCTTGTCGGCCCCCGTCCAGCCGCTGGCTGTCGGAGCTGCAGCCTCTGTCCCCGCCCCAGGGGCCAGGACTTTCTTGAATGTTCTTCCCGGGAGGACTCGCCCTGTTGATTTTTGCGAGCTCCCTCCGTACCAGGTGCTCCCTACAAAGCTGAGGGAACGCGAGGGCGGGGCGCGCGAGGGTTTTGGCCGCTGGCGCCGCAGATGGCGAGCATGTGGCAGGGGAGAGCGGGTTGTGGAGGTCGGAGCGGAGCGGAGGCGCTCCAGGCGTTTTCACTCCAGAAGAGCGGTCGGGTCGGGGAGGAGGACCGGCGCGGAAAGTTTGGGCCGGCTCAGCTGTTGCGCCGCAGCCGCTAGACGGAGCCCGGGGCGCGGGCTCAGGGCTGCGGAGCGGGGAAGTAGATGTCGAGTCCCCGCTCCAGGAGGCTGGGGCGAGCGGGGCTCCTTCCTTCGTTCCTCACCCCCGTGAGCTTTTTTAAAGGCATCCGCGCTTGCGTCCGTCAGTCCGTCTCTCCTCTCTCTCTCCCTCTTCCTCCCCACCTCACCCGCGTTTAAAAGTCCACTCTATTCAAACATTTCACAGTTGAGTGAGAATTTTGAGTCGGATTAGATGACTGGGGCCCAGATGTATGTTTCGGGGGGGGAGGGGAGGATGGTCTGATAAATATGAGACTGTCTCCTAAATTAATGTACCTGTTAAATACAAGTCAAGGTTTAGACCCTGGCATCTCATGCGTTCTTTAGTGAAAAGACTGAAAATTTCGCGCTGTCTTAAGAAAGGGATGAAGGGGAAGCTACTACATCCCCTTTTAAGAGTTGGTCTGAGGCCAGAGACACGCCCATTTCGGCTTAACTGTTTCCCTGAGAGCTGTGGCTCTGGAGTTTTCCTTGGAATGCGCTCTGAAAGGACGGGATAGCCTCTCCGTGGGTGGGGGAGGGAGAGAGACGTGGCAGCCCTGTTCTTTCATCAACTTTCTGCTCATACTTTTTTTTTTTTGAAGGTTCTGGGAAGAAAGGTATATTTCCTCTTTTAGGTTCAGATACAGTTTATGCATGGGGCTAGTCTTTTCCTAAAATAATCAGATGGAAAATTTAGGCTGCAGAGCAGGAACATTGGAATTTAATTTAGAAAACATTTTAAAGGGATTAAAAAAATCAAGATTCTGTGGAGGACATACATATGTTAAGCAGGAAGTAGTCAAGAAGCTGAAAGGGAACAACCTTGAATATGTTTTGCCTTGATTTCAAACATGAACAGTCATCTGTGATTTTTTCTTTAACTTTGGCTTTTAGCCTGTGAATGCCATTCATAATCTTGAATGTTAATTGGAAATATACCATTTTCTTCTTGTGGGAAGACATTATCACTTACCTTTAAAAGTGATACCAGTTTTGGTTTTGGAACATTGTGCCTTAAGTAGTGTCAGTGTTTTTGATAGTTGATGGCAAATGCTTCATGGACTTACACAGACTAACTAGGAAAAGGACTACTTTATCTCTTTTAGGTGGGTAATGCTATTTCCATACACATATGAAATGAGTTTTACTTTGTAGTACTGACAGCCAGGATTTGATAAGAGGATAATTGCATTGGCCATTTTATGTCTTGGTAACTTAGCTTGTAAAACATATGAAAAAATACATACAACTTTTAATTGTAACCAAAAAATTTAGATAGTGCAAATCACTATTGAAAAAGGAAGGCTTTATGTCACCTGTTACTCCACGTTGCAGATAGATCTTGGCTTTTAGTAAGGAGAGGTTGCCCTTTTCAGTTACTGCAGAGTGAATTATATACTGACAAGCAGTGTCTTTAATAGAGCAATTAAGTTTAAACTACTTTTATTCCAGGGATGCAGCAAGAGTTGGGACACCTATAAAGCTTCTGAAGAAGGAATACCTATTTTATTTAGTGATTATCAACTGGGACATAATTATTGTTCTTAGATTGACTTGTGAGATGCGTGGTAATGGTCTTCAACCTATTTTAATGTCATGAAATCCATTGAAAATCTGTTGGGAGATGTGGGCCCATGTCAGAAGATGGAAATAAGTTTATCTGCATGGAACTGCACCCCCCCCCCCCAATCCATGAACTCTATTATAAGAATCCATGAAAATGTTTAAGGATATATTGGGACCGAATTTCTCAGATACTTCTGAAAATTGAGCTGGTTATTGAAGGCCAGCTGGATTTGATGATGACCCTTAACTTCTGTTCAGACTTTTTAAACAAAAGTTAATAGGTTGTTAGAATTAGTGAGTTGCTAAATTGTTAGTCAGTGGAAATATATTGTGTGCTCCCTCCCAATATATCGTAACATCTTTGATTTTTCACAGTGAAGGTAGACTAGACATGAAGAGAAGTAGAAATAAATTGTATTGCCCTTGGCATTAAATTTACTGCTCTTTCAGTGAGTTCTTGGATCTTATAATTAAACCATAATGGGGCTTGTGTGTATAAATATGAGACAAACCAACTAAGTGGGATGTATGTACATGAAACTAGTTAAAACTTGTATTTCTATTCAGTGAAATTTATTTGTATAAATTGAAGGTATTCTGTCATTTTCCTTTAGCCAAATAAATATTATGCCTGAAGAAACTTAAGAAATTCAAAAGGATTCTTATTAAAGCTACTGCAGCAGTTTTTAAACTTGATATAATGAAAAATATTCCTTTTCCTGGTCTTCCTTCAGATGATCAATATGACTGTTAGTATATTTGGTTGGCTGTTGGCTAAAAATACAGTACAGATTCATGCTTCTTACATAATTGTCATCAGTGAATGAACACTATCTTGGACTTTTTAATGTTTTATATAAACGTGTCTATGTTTTGATGGCTTATGATTTCACACTTTAATAGTATTATATCAAATTAATGTACTCACTCTAACTTTCTTATTGGAGATTTGAGCTGTTTGTTATAAATAATGTAAAGGAAAGTCTATAATTTAGTAGTTTGTTTTATCCATTTGCATAGCTACAGTTAACTTCAGGCAGTTTTCTTTGCATCTATATTATTTCTTCAGAAAAGTGTTGGCAGAGTAGCTCAGGTGGTAGAGCACCTGCCTAGATGAGGTCCTAAGTTCAAGCCCCAGTACTGCCAAAAAAAAAAAAAAAAGTGATGAAGAAAAGAAACACATGATAATGAAACTTTATATCAGCATAGCATAGTAGTCTGTTTTCCATTGCTACAACACAATATCCAAGGGTGAGTAATATGTAAAGAAAATAGGTTTATTTAGCTCATAGTTTTTGGCAGTCCAAGAGCATGGTGCTGGTTTCTGCTCAGCTATGGTGAGGGCCTCCAAGTGGATAGCATTATAATGGCAAGGGTGTATTTAAAAGTGATCTTATGTGAAACAGGAAGCCAGGGACATTCAGGGGTAAGGCTCATGCTTATCAACTTGCACTTATGGGAATAATTCACTCTTAAGAGCAGCATTGATCCCTTCTGAGGGTATCCTTGGTAACTAACCACCTCCCACTAGGCCCCACCTCTTAAAGTTTCCACTCCCTCTCATATCTCCACACTGGGGACCAGGTTTCCAACATACGAACCTTTGGGGGTATAAACCATAGCAAAAATTTTTCTTTCTTTCTTTCTTTAAAAGAATCTTATAGGAAATGGGCCTGATAACTAAAGCACTTTAGAAAGTGTTGCCCTCTTCGATTCTGGGGGCAGAACCCAGGGTTTTGCAAGCCCTATAACTTAGCTCTTAGGGTAATTCTGAGGAAGTTTTATATCCACTATGTTTTAAAAATGAAACTGAGACTCAGAAAAGTCAATACAGTAAGTGTCAAAAGTAGGTAGGACCTGGACTCAGGTCCTCTGTTCTGATTTACATTTCATATTACTTCATCATCCTTGATAATTGAGTAGATTGAGGTAATGACAGCAAAAAACCAATTTAGTAGCATACTTACCACTGTATTAGAAATGTTTTCAACATCTAGAGTTAAAGTAGGATTCCCAGTTAATAATAATAAACTTAGTCATTCCCTCAATTTAATGAACTTTTGTGTGTGTGTGTGTGTGTGTATGTGTTGCTGGGGATCTAATCCAGGGCCTTGCTTGTGCTAGGCAAGCATTCTACCACTGAGCTACAATCACTAGCTTACTGAGCATTTTAAAAGCATCTATAATGTGCCAGTAGACTTCAGAAATCAGAAGAGTGATGGGAAAAGTTTCACACAAAATAGGGCATGAAAGTTATATTGTAAGGGGAGAAATGACAGAGGTGACTCCATTTTGGATGAGAGAGGCACTTTAAAAGCAGAAACAACAGGCTTCTCAGAAATATCAAGGCTCTCACCTAAGTAACAAGATTCAGCCGCATGATGTGGGTAGTGGGCCCCAAGGCCAGGACAAGCTGACCAGACCCTTCTGGAATATCCAGTTTGATAAGGAGAGGGATGGACAGGTGGTCGGATTTAATGAGAAGTTGACTAGGCACCAGCCAATCACAAATATGTGCTCTAGTATCAATATGACATACCAATACTATTATTTTACTCTGCATTAAATGTAAGTGCTGAATGGAAAATCATATCTAGATTCACATCTTCTGCAACCATGAATTCATTTCCCCCTGTTCTAGTATGTGTGGTCTTATGTTGTGAATGTTTTCCTCAACTTTAGAAATGGCATTGGAAAAGAGGAAACTGAGTACCATGTGCTCACGCCTGTAATCTTAGCTACTCAGGAGACAAAGATCAGAAAGATTACGGTTTGAAGCCAGCCCAGGAAGATAGTTCATGAGACCCTATCTTGAAAATATC